CTAAAGAATCGATATAATCTCAGCATTTCTGTTCCGTTTAGGGAGATGTGATCAATGAGCGAGGACCTGAAGGATGCTGGCTGACTTAAAGAAGTTTTTGATTCAATTCCGTATTCACTTATCGGTTTCATACAAGCTTTCATTGCAAAGGAATATGTCTGTGCATGGACGCGGATGGCAGAGAAGGAGGAGTAGGATTCTTGACAGGGTGTCCACCTATAAGCACCATCAGCCCTCCTGGGATCTCATTATTCGCTGACTTCATTGTTATGAACACTGAGTGGTCACACATTTGGGTATTTTTGTAGGTGTGTGTGTGTGCGTGTGTGCATGTATGAATGGTCCAGTTATGTGAAAAAACCAAAAAAGAAGAGAGAGAGGAATCGTTGCAAGCCAAAGGATATGAAAAACCATCTAAAATGATGAAAGAGAAACTGAGAGAATAAAAAAGGAGTTGCAAATAAAGGGTAGATAAGACAGGGGAGGGTTTTCAGAGGGAAAAGGGTGAGAATTGAGGAGGTGAAGCAACAGTTTTTGGTTGGTTGGCTCGGGTCCCGACTGCTGATTGATCTCCAGGTGACAGCCGGTGTCAGGGGCCCTCGGCCAGGCTGTCATTCCCTTGCACTCTTACACCCTCGCACCCCCACCTCTCATCTTCGCTCTGTCGCTCTCTCTCTCCCCACAGTGCATTTTAAGCTCTCACTTGTGCCAACTAATCTCTCACCTTCTTCCCTCTCCATTGATTCAACCTCTAGCTCTCTCACTCTTTTTCTCTCTCTCTTTGCTCCTCATCATCATTCTGTTCGGCCGGCCTTTTCACCCCCTCGGTGGTGACAGTTGGTTTCTCTACTGCTCTCCTCTACCCTCCAGCTCTGCCTTTTTTGTTCTCCCACTGCTGGGAACCAAATGCTAAGCACTGCCCATTTCACACCAACTATTTGCCATGCAAGATGTGCTCGCGTGCAGGGCTTTAGTGTGTGCTTGTGCGTCCCCGTAACACGTATCCAAAAACATGTGTTATGGGAAGAAAACCCATGATATAAATCAATAACGGCTCGGGGTTACGTTAGGCAAGCCCGTGTAATGTCCTCTGAAGTCATGGGATCACAACTCCCCGTGTGTCTGTGTGTTTGAATTTGCATGTGCAAAGTGTCAGCGTCTGTGCCCTGAAAGCCCATAAATGCTGCACACCAGTTTTCTTCAGACACTGCCTCAGGATATTTTTGTGACCTTGGTCTTCAGTGACTACGTGTGTGTTTGCTGCTCAATTATAGGGATTTCATTTTCCTGTGTGTGGGCATGCTCATGCGCTCTCGAGTTTGTTTTTGTGCGTGTGTATGCACATGCGTGCAATCAGGAACCCTTGAGGGGCATGTTTAATGATGGGCTCGTTTGCACAGCTCTGACTCTAATGATCTATTAAAGTACACTTAACCAGTAATTATATGGACAGTCCCCAAAGGCTTATGAGGCCCCAAAAGGGCCTGCTGAAGATGGAAGAAAAGCCCATGTATTTAATGGAATGCATGGGAATTGATAATGCTGCGGCTTTAAACTTTGTTTTACGTTTCTAAAGATAATAATGAATGAATAAATAAAGAATAGGTTCAAAGGAGACTTTTCTCCTGCCATGATTACATGCAATGTTAAACTTGAGACAGTGATTAAGTATTCCTCAGGCTTTGCGGAGGAACATGTAATCCCTGTCTTAGCTCTCCACTTCTTCCCCTGGACTTGCAGGACTGTATATTTAGTTCCAGCCTTGCAATTAAATCCACTTTTACTGTATGACCATTTTACATTGTATCTATTCAAAAGTCAAACGCAAACTTATGAGAGCCAGGCTAATAATTTCTCTGAGTTAAATGTTTTGAAATTCAATAGATACTAAAGATCAGGCAGTCTCTTTCCTAACAAGATCGTTAGACCATTATTCTACTCATTAACAGGATTGTCTCCTGAAGTTCAAGAGCAGCTAGAAGCCCCTTAAACTTCAGTGCTACATCCTCTAATAAGGCGATTTTAAATGTGTTTCACGCTCTGCAACTTGAAAGTCATACTGGGCCAGGATGAATAACATTCCAGTCAGGGTAGAATTAAGCAAATAAAGTGTGCTTGCATAGTGATGGAAATGCAGGACTGTAAACACAAACTGCAGGAGCTGTCTTCAGTTAGTGTGTTGACAAAAGCATTCAACAAACATATAAATCGTTACACCTCTTATCAAACACTTCACCGCACACAACAGCCAAACAACGCCCTGCTATCTCCTCTGCTTATGTTATTTCACCGTGTAGTTTTGTAAACAAACATTTGAAAAAGCTGTATTTCTTGAAGGAGAAGTCAAACTCTCTAAATATTGTTATAGTCCATATCCATCCACTTCATCAGGTACACCTTGTTGAACCTACTTTTTCCTCAGAATTGTCTTGATTTTTCATGGTATAGATTCAACAAGGTGCTGAAAACATTCGTCAAAGGTTTTGGTCCATATCGACGTGGCAGCAGCACACGACTGCTGCACATTTGTCAGCTGCGCATCCATGAATTTCCAGGTTCTGTTCATCCAAAAGGTGCTCTGTTAGATCAGGTGACTGTGGAGGCTGTTTCAGTAAAGTGAGCTTATTTTCATGTTCGAGAAAGTCGTTTGAGAAGATCTGAGCTTTTTAAAGTCATGTCGTTTTTGCAGGAAGCAGCCATCAGAATTCAAATGCCGATTCTTCCATCAGGCCAGGCAACGTTTACCGAAGCTTCTGTTGTCCAGTTTTAGTGAGTCCATGTAAATCGTTGTGGCACCCTATGTGGTCTTCTGCTGCTGTAGCCCATCTGCTGCCAGGTTTGATGTGTTGTATGTTCAGAGATGCTCTTCTGCATACTGTGATTCTAAGGAGTCACTATTTTAGTTACCTTCCTTTCAGCTGACCTCTGGAATCAACCACTTTCACCCAGTGAGTTTCCACCACAGGATATATTTACTCTTTCTCTGGCCTTACTTTGCAAACCCTGGACATGATTATGTTGGAAAATCCCAGCACTTTCTGAAATACCAGCTTGTCTGGCACCAGCAACATTCAAAGTCACTTAAATGACCCATCTTCCCCCATTTTGATCCTTATTTTTAACTTCTGCAGGTCATCCTGACCTGGTCTACATATATGTAAATGCACTGAATTCCTGCCATGTGATTGGTTGATAGCTATTCGTGTTAATGAGCAGCTGATCGGTACATACCTGATAAACCATCTTATCATATTCCTAACGAGAATGATTCCCCACTACAGTTAAACTTTATGGAAGCTGTTGCTCACAGTTATGATTTCTGCTGCCCAAGACTGAACTTTCACATCATCAGTCTCTTTTTTTCCCCCAGCTGTAGAAATGAAAAAAATGTAAGCTGACGTACATGTAATGAGTTTTATTTGTCAGGAGGTAGAAATAAAGATATTTCAGAACATTGTTATTAATGGTTCACACTCTAAAGAGTTAAGCTCTCACTTTTATTATCAGTGTTTATCAGTGTTGCTTGTTTTTATCAGCCGCCTCTTCCGTACACCAGCATAACAAAACATTTGGGATTTCCTGGTTCCTGGAAGGTTGGTAATAGGAATAATCAGCCTTCCACTTAAAGGTTAAATATACTCCGTCTTCCTTCCCTGCAGTGTGTCTCTGTCATTGCAGTCAACCACCAGTGTTTTCAGAGTGGAGTGATTCATGCTGGTTCTTCTTCTTTTTTCCACCTACCTTCTTATCAGTTATTTAATTCACTGGCCTATTCACTCTTTTTTTGTCTGAATGTCCATTATCTGATTTTTCTAATCCCCTCTCATCCATTTTCCCATTTTTCATTTTGCTGTTATTCTGCGCTTCAGAATTTGTAAGCTTTGATATCTCCGGGAGGCCATAAAGCTTTTTGTTTTTTCATTTATTTGTTTATTTATGCTTGTTTGTTTTTTAAGAAGATTTTTACCAAATCCTGATGCCACACATGAGCTGAGTTACTACATAGCAGGAGGTTGCCTCAAGGGATATAGTTAGCAGCTTTTATCATTATTTTTGATTGGCACGTAATTGTTTGCCCACTGCTGTTGCCTTCTTGCATTTACATACATATTTTGCTCTTTTATTTCTATTTACTTGCAGTGTATTTACCATTTCTACAGACACCATATGGCCATTTGTTCCCAGTGTCACATGCTGCCCCACCCACTCACCATCCCCTCAAACTTCTCTTATCTTCACACTTGTCTTGGTGGCAGGCACAGAGGTAGACTGGGCTTGGTCTGGCTGTCACAAGTTAGATGGCACAAAGGGCTGGAAGGTGAAGGCTGCCACCTGAGGTGGGGTATTGGGTTTTGACACCTCTATTAACCTTCAGGAGACATCCATCCTCACTCACGCCCACGCCTCCTCTCTCTCCCCTGTTCTTCCTCAGCTCCGTCTCACCCTGCCCCCTGTCTCGTATTCCCCAGGCAGCGGGGAAACAACTTGTCCCTGGAGCAAAAGAGCCAAATAACAAACGACTTGTGTTTTCCTCTCCTCCCAACCTGGATGATTTCAATATGTCATGGATTTCTATCTCAATTATTGGTCTCTGTGACCTTTGTTGTTTTCCCCGAGTCTTTCTCTGTCGGTCCGTCTCTCTAATTGTAACCCATTAGCTTTGCAGTCTGGCAGTCATACCTGTACATTTTTACAGCCAGTGGGAGAAAAAATCCATGGGTGTTGTGCAGCGCTGCTCGGTGAAATTGTGGCTCTGAACAAATTGCTGCAGCTTTCTCATGTCAATCAGCCGGAATAATTGCAGTTAATGAAATGTGAATCGGACAGATTAAATCGGATGTAAAATTGTTGAGTGAACAGATGCCCTTTTTTACCTTGACAATAATTCAATATATCATTGGTGTAATTTAAACAGATTATGGTAGACTGTAGCAGGGTATGACAGCTCATGGCTAAGCGGAGCCCATAATCTTGTGCCTTACTCTCTTTTCTCCCTATAGGAATTCTCTTTACTCCGACTGGACGACGTGGCGGACCAGCGAGTCAACATAGTTGGTTTTTCCGTCTTCAACAAAACTCATCCCTTCTTCCAGGATTTTGCGCTAAGCCTCAACCGCTCCTGGCAAGAGAACTGTGACCACGCACCCTTCGCCGGCACACCGGTTAGTTCACACAACACAAATACATGGCGTTATTTACAGAGAAGACCGAAGTTACAGGAAGAATAATTCAGTCCAAATTAAAAGATAATTAGTTGTTCCAGCATACTTCTCTATCACAAACTTACCAATTAAAACACTGAAGTCACAGAAACCTCCAAAATACTAGGAGAAATATACAGGGATAGCATTTACTCAGGTAAGTGCTGTAATTTCAGGTGTTGCTGTAGGCCATTGTTGTTTCCCAGACAGCTCATTAGCAGCATTTGGCGCCCTCCTTATTACCTTTAGAATGGCATCTTCCTTGTTGAATTTTCTTCAGAAGAAATGCACACAGGAAAAGCTACTTACCTTCACAGCACCCCCCCTTAAATCAGCCACTGTTCTCATCTAAATGCTCTCTGTAGCTCAACATTCAAAATAGTGTGCACTACCTGTGTGAATGAGTGACTACAAAAAAAGCTTTGTTGCGTATGTGTAAACTGAAGGTGATTGCAGATTTGTTTAAGTCTCATGCCGGCTCAGCAGGGGCCACAAAATAGCGAAGCACATGCTTGAACATGTCGTACTATTATTATTATTACTACACTCTGACATATTTTACGACATGGCTTATCGAGTTTTCTTTACATCAGACTCACTAAATACAGTGTTGTACAGTGTTGTATCTGTTTGTGGTTTAGTGCCTGTTTATGAGACTAAAATTTATGACTATTCTCTGACTACCCAGTAATCCCTCTTAAAGCTAGACACTCTCCCACATTTGCTCAATAGTGTCTCTCATTAAAAGCAGCTTCTCAGAGTAAGTAGTACAAGTGCACCAGCTATTAGACTAAACTTCTGCTCTTGGATAATAACAAAAAACAACAAAAAAAGCTTATTGCAGAATTTTTTACCGGGAAAAGATGAATATACGTCACATTACACTGTTAATATAACAAATCAAAGTTTTGATTTTCATCATTTATTAGCTTTGAAGTAAAACAAAGAGGTTTTTCCTGTTAAAGGGGAGTTTTTTTCTTCCCACTGTTGCTAAGTGCTTGCTCATACAGGGTTACCTGATTGTTGTTCTTTTTGCTTGGTTTAACATTGTAGGGTTTTGTAGCTTATATCATAAAGCCCCTTGAGGTAACAGTTGTTGTTAATTGGGATTATGTAAATAAAGTTTAACTGAATTAAATAATTTCATGTATTTTTACATCTTAAACAAAAAAAACCTTAAAGACAATATTAAAAAGTGATGTAATTTATATATCTGAATTCAATATATTCTCAATATTGAGAAAAGCTGTAATGCAGATTTGTTTTGATCCTTGTAAATGTTTTTTTTAATAAGAATAACCCACCTGAGTGCAAAAAGACTGCCACTACTGCAGATTTCTGTTTGCTCAGGGGCTTCATTAGGAGCCAGATATTCAGTAAAGTCAGATTAATGAATGAATCCCTTCTGTTTGAAGTGAAGAGACATTAAAAAATGAAACAAACACCCATCTCTCCGTTTTTGCTTCACACAAATTGGATGGTGAAATAGGTTAAGAACAGTTTGAACTAGCATTAAAAATGCTTCTGTGTGCAGTGGGTCACACGGATACTCACTAAGCTTGCAGCAATTAGGACTTGTGGCTAATTATCTAATAACCAGAGAGACTAAAGGCTGATGGGAGCAAGAACGTGATTAACCCGTTTAAACATGCACATGCGTAATATGCTGTCTTTTTAAACGTTCTCTTATAAACAACAAATGCAGCCGCTGGCCTATATGTGTGTTAGATTGCACTGATGCATTTAAAGATAAAGGCACGCACCACATTATCTGAGGAAATGT